AGGTGCATGTATGTTCACACACATACACACACACACACACACAGAGTAATTGCAGTACTGTCTACCACAGCACAGCTCAACATGTGGCTCCCACAATGCACCATGAGGCTGTTAAAACAGTAATGGAAGCCTCAATGAGGAGGTCTGGAGTGTGGAGTTTTAGGTACATTGTCAAGTGATGAAAGCAAAGCAGCTGTTGGCTGTATTTTGTGAGAAAAAGTTAAAAACCAAGAAACATTTCTGGATATGCGTATTTCTACGAGGAAATAAAAATAACAAAAAGGAACTGGCGTCCAGAAGGCAGAGAGGAATATAGGTAGAAGGAGTAAGGCAAGACAAGTTTCTAAATATAATTTCATTTACAGCTTTGACTTTGTTGTTTTGTTTTTTTTTCCCGGTACCAGGAATCGAACTCATGACCTTGCGCTTGCCAGGCAGGTGCTGTGCTGCTAAGCTAAATCCCCAGGCCACAGCTTTGGCTTTGGGGAGTGTTTTATATATTTCTCCCAAAATGAAACTGAATCAAGGATGGGCAGAATCTAAAACTAAAACCAAGTAAGAACCACTGGAAATATATCTCAAGATGACTATCATATCAAAAAAAGATAAAAAACCAGTCCAAATAATTCTAGAATACATTAAGTTTTCCTAAATACTAGGAAAAGAAAAATTGCAAACACATTTCAAATGTGATTTAGATTTGTTTTGTAGATGCACAATATGGTGTGACCTGTGAGTATTCCTGCTACTGGGAGCCAGGGTCCTTCCATGGGAGAAACAGGGACTGGGCAGGAGGAGACCTGGGAACCAGACTGAAAATAGCTGTGCACCCACATTTCATAGCTGTGTTCACTGAAGGTTATTACAAGAAATGCCACCCCAGGAAGAGTCAGGATTCAAATTTTGTTTTTAGATCCCATTCTCCACTAAAAAGAACCAGAGCTCTTGGAGAAATGACTGACTCTTAACACTCCATCAGAGAAGGTAAATAAGAATGAGAACATAATGCTGAGTGAAACAAGTCAGACACACAAGCTTAAATATCTCATGGTTTCTCTTCTATGAGAAACTACAAAAAAACAAAATATATATATATACACACACACACACACACACACACATATATATGTTTATATTTATCAAATAGATGGGGGAATCAAGAGATGGAGGGGGGGGGAAAGAGATAGGAAAAAAAACAAGAATTGAAGGGAAAAAATGAAAAAAATAGAGCTTTTGCAAATGGGAAGGTGACCAACAGTTTGAAGGAGCAGGGAAGGAGAGGAAGGGAAGAGCATGGAAAAAAAAAATTAAAATGTACTATGTCCATGTAGCAATCCCCTGTGATAAGTGTAACCACCATACTGTAAATATGCATTAATTTTTTAAAAAATGAACTTGAAGTATTATAAAAATTAAAGAAATGCTAAAAGAAAAAAAGGAAAAAGGAAGGGAAGGAGAGAGGAAGGCTAAAAAAGAGACAGGAATCAGTGTTAAGAGGTTCCACTTGACCAAAGATCAAAAAACTCAAAGCATTAAAATAAACAAGGACTGCAAATGAGTATAGCTCAATGACAGAGAAAGAATCCATAAAGTCCATACTGATTCATAACCAAGTAAGTGAATGAATAAACAAATGGGAGGAAGGAAAGCATGTCCTTACAAATGACTGACAAACATGAGTTAGTGAGATAAAAAAAAAAATCCATTAGCACTGTAAAGAATCATCAGGAGGCAAGAACTATTAGTAAATTTAGTACTGAAAATATGAAGACGCAATACTGGCAGAGTCAAAAGGTATTCTTTCACCAAACAGGTATTAGCTGCTAGAGAAGACAGAGTGAAATATAAGGGAGAAACCAAATAGCACCTTTACTGGATGGTCAAAACTGACCTGAGCAGTAGGCTGAGGACGCATCATGTGCCTGTGCCTGTGACCTCAGAGAAGCACATGTTGCCACCTATGTAGTATGCTGGTCAAGAACATACAACATGAACCTAACACATGAACATGTCAGATGAACCCCACACAGCATTCTGTAAAACAACATGGCCAGTGTATGGTATACATGATCCTAGACTCTATTTCACACAGCAGGAAAAAAAAACATGAGAACTGACAATGCTGGAATTGGACTGTAGATCAATGTTACATTTCCTGTGTTTTACATATGAGGGTATACAAGAGGATAGTTCTTTTCTTAGAAACTATATGTTGATATGGTAAAGGTTCATAATACATGCAAACTATTCTCAAGTGGTACAGAGAAAGTTTTAAACCCATTATGTGGTATATATTAACGCACGCACACTATAGCCTTTATGTAATGCATGCTTATGTCAATTTAATCTAGGTAATTTTTCTATTCAATACATGTACTAATATCAGATGGGAGAACTTACTAGAATTAAAATTTTGTTTGAGGTCTAGCTACTTCTTAAATTATTACTGTTATTATCTTGCAGTACGGGTATGAACCTAGGACCTCTACACTAAATTATATCCCCAACCCTTTTTTGATTTTTTTATGTTAAGATAGGGTTTTGCTAAATCGCTAAGTTGCCCAGACTGTCCTTAAATTTGCAATCCTCCATCTCGACTTCCCCAAGTTCTAAGATTACAGGTGTTGTCACCATGCCCACTTTAAATTATAATTTTTATATTTAATAATTGATAGGAAAAGAAACATCTGTGTAATCAGAGAGCACAGGAATGTTTTTGCACAGAAACACAACTGTAGGTTTTGCTCAGGTTACTCAGGTCATTAAGTAATTGTCACAGCTGGAAAAACATTATAAAGTTGCAGTAATTAAAACAGTATGCTTCTGGAACAACTATATGTGAATCTATCATATCACAAAGTAAAAGATGTACCACCAGTGCATGAATAGCACATACATATAAATCTATGAAAATGCATTATAAATTGAGTATAAAAAATTTAAATTAGTGAATTCTTTCACAACTTAGGAGGGGAAGATACCTAGGTAACTGTTTTAAAAGCTTTTAGTCATACAAAAAAAAAAAAAAACCACAAAACACTGTAAAATTTCTGCACAGTTAAAAAATCCTACAAACTATTAAAAAAACACATTGATCACACATTGTTTAGACTTTGGGGAAATAGGCACTTTAATGATGCTGATGAAAATATAAAAGAAGTACAATTTCTAGAAATGAGTTTACCTTGTTTATCTATTTAAAAGCCTCAAGGTTATAGAAAATGATACATGTTGAGTTATCTGTTATGCTCTACCGCTTAGAACAGAATAAATCTTAGAGTAAATCTTAACTGTCCATGAAAAGGAGAGGGTTAAGTACTACGAAGTTATAAAAACTGAAACGTACAATCTCAAGGAGGATCTTCCAAACACTTTAGGCAGTATGATATTCTGTATATCTGTAAAGACTAAAAATAACATCCCACACCCAAAAGTGTGTTTAATAAATAAGAGGAAAGAGAAGTCACTCCATGATGAAAACAAACTGAAACTTTCCAGTCTGATTTTTCACACTGTGCAGTTCCATTTATTCACATAATACTCAGTATGAACACACTGTATTCCATAAATGTGTATGATTAGCCAAAATATTAATAAATTTTAAATTTCAAATGAAAATGACCTACTTTTAAAAGGCCTTATCTCACTGTTTTGATGTTTCTTCCTTTATTTTCCAATTCTTTTTGTTTTGGTCTTTTTGAGACAGGGTCTTGCTATGCAGTTCAGGCTGGCCTTGAGCTCACTTTGTAGCCCAGGCTGGTCTCAAAGTCACAATGATCCTCCCAACTGCTGAGATTACAGGCATACGCCACCGTGCCCGGCTATTTTCCAATGTTTTTAAATATAAAACCGAGACCACTATGGTTTTCTCTGTTTTGTCTGTTTGCAGCACAGTGATTACATTCACAGAGGGGAGCTGGTGCCTGTAAACAACACATCCTAATTCTTGTTACTACCCCTTCGCTCCCTCCCTCCACTGTGCGGTTCTTCACAGGTAAGAGCTGTAACTTTCTACTGTCACCTAACCTTTCTCCAACAGCTGCACATGACTTGTGACTTTCCAGTGTTAAAAATAATGCTGCAATAAACAGCTCTTAGCACAACACTTTTTTTCATTTTTGTTTCAGCAACAAAATAATTTGACCCAATGAAATTTCAACTAATACTCTAACTTCCAAAGAAAGTTTGAAGTTTATTTTGTTTGCTTGCTTTCGGCAAAGTCTCACAAAGCTGCTAAATTGCCCAGGTTGGGCTCAGGCTTTCTCAGCGCCCCAGAAGCTAGGATTACAGAAATGCACCCCCAATTCAGCTTCAGAAAGCATTACAATACATTCGTCTCCTAGAGAAAGAGATTAGGTTCAGGGAAGTTACACCACTGCCCGAATCTCATACATGAGGAGCAGAACTGCAACAACATGCTTTTTCTTTAGGACCTGAGCTCTAATTACACCAGGCTTTTTTGCTTTCTGTGTGTGGCACTGGAGATGAAACTGAGGCTTAGTGCCAGCCAGCAAACCCTGCCCAGCTGAGAACACCCCAAGCCCTGGGCTTGCACTCTCTTATAAAGTTGATATTTTCCTGTCTGTAGAATTCTATAAACATAAAAAGGCATTTACATTAAAATGTCATTTCATAATGTAGTAATTCAGAAGAAAAAAAGTTAATGTTTTCAATAGCACATTTAAAAAATCAGTTTAGCTTTTCTACCATAGCAAAACTTCAAATTACAGAATTACCTATTAATATCTCTCTTTTCTTTCTTTTGCAGTACTGGGTATTAAGACCTTTGGACGGAGCCCATCCTTAGCCCTTTTAATTTTATATTTATTTTGAGACAGAGTCTAGCTAAATTGGCCAGGCTGGGCTTGAACTTGCCATCCTCCTGCCTCAGCCTCCCACAGTACTGGGATTCCAGGCCTATGCTATCATACTTAGATTTTTAAATGTCTTCATAACATACATGAATGATATAGTAAGTTTAAAAGCTACTGGCCACTCACCTCATTATTTCCTCTCGATCTCCATGACTAGCATGTTCTGCCTGTATCTTCTGTCTTAATCGGTTTATTTCTTTATCTAGCATTGATGCAGATTTTTTTACTTCTATCCGTTCTGGGCAAATCTGCCTTGCTTGTGACATTTTCTCCTAAAAAACAGGTATTTAGTTTCTTTCTTTCTTTCATTTATAAACAAAAAAATGCAATGCACTTTTACAACACAGTACCTATTTTATATTCACAACCCTCTGTATTACAATCTTAAGTGGTTTACAGGGTTTAACTCATTTTCCTTAAAATAGATCAAAGCAAAGCGAAACCATCTCTTTTAGTTACATGGCTGCTTTTAAATTTATTCTCTAGAAACAGGGCCACTGTTTAGTTGTCCCCCAGCTACTCAGAGGAGAGGTGCCAGTAACTAATGCCAGGCAGAGGAGCTGTGATGCTGGGACAGAGACTGGCACTGCCCCAACCACTTGCAGGACACTGGACTGTGGGGCCTCGCCTCCGGAAGTCCTCCCACTCTGATGGGCCTGAAGCCTGTGCACTGATTCCTTCAAACATTCTGTTATTCTACAGAAAACAAATCCAGGTAACTGCAATTTTGCAAACATGACATTAAGGAAAACACATTTTAGTACTAAGAGCCAGGCATGGTGGTACACACCTATAATCCCTACACTCTGGGGGGCTGAGGCAGGAGGATAGCAAGTTGGAGTCCAGTCTTGGTAATTCAGTGAGACCCTATCTCCAAAAAAGAAAAAACTGCACGGCTGGGGACGAAGCTGAATGCCAAGGCCCTGGGGTTCAAGTCCCCATACTGCCGAAAACCCAGACAAGACTATGATTATAAACAAAACAGCTTGAAATGAAAAAGCAGGTGATAACCTCTAGCTCTTTTTCTTTCATGTCCAGTTCTCGCTTCTTTTTATTTAAAGTATCCATGTGTTCCTTTTGCTTGTCTTCATAATGCCGTTTCCCCCGTTTCTGGTTATCCACTTCAGAATCAGCAAGGTTTAATTCATCCTGTTTGAATAAAGCCAAAATCACCTATAGAGAAAAGATTTTTAAAAAAACTTTCCAGCCCAGGTATAAAATTAACAACTGAACAGAATATAATTACGCTGCTTAAAAAGTCAACTGTTCAGAGTTCATGTTCTGTGTATCTGAACAGAAGGAATTCCCTCAAATTAAATCATATATTCAAATTCTTACACAAATTCACAAAATAGTATGGTACTTCAATTTTATTTTGGCAAACAAGGTAATTCTGGGGGAATCCACTGAGCTTTAAAAAATTTAAAACAACCCAAGTGTTGGATACAGCTATCTTATCTGGATAGTATTGAATCATACATAGTTTATGTTTTTTTGCTATACATACTACATACCTATGGTAAAGTTTAATTATAAATTAGACAGTAAGAAATTAACAAGTAGAAATAAAGAATAATTTTAGACATACTGTGGTAAGTTACATGAATATGGTCTTTCTCTTGAAAGAAGCAACAGAAGTAGTATTTTTGGACTGTAGTTGACCATGAGTTACTAAAAGTACAGAAAATGAGATGCAGGGAAATGGGAACTAATGCATATACAATTCTAGAAGCTGCAGTAATAGAAAGTGGAATGCTGGTTGCCTAAAGATAAGGAGCAGGGATGAGAACGGAGAGATTAGAAAGGAACATCAAAAAATGTAAAGGCATGAGGGACTGTGTTTCTTTTTCTGATTGTGGGGATGGTTTCACAGGTTTATAAATGTCAAAACTTAACAAATTACACCCATATGTGTATTTACTGTCATTCAATTATCTCAAACTCCTTAAAGCTCCTTACTTAAGAACCAAATTGAGTTTTGTTTTGTTTTTAGGTACTGGGAATCAAACTCAGGACCTTGCCCTTGCCAGGCAGGCACTGTGCCACTGAGCTATATCCCTGGCTGCCAAATTGAGTTTTTAGTCAGGTTGTTCATCTGTTTTCTGAGCCAGGCACTGGTCGTTTATGTAATGATTAGCATGTTTCCTTTTAAGAGGCACAGCCACAAAGAAACAAACACAAACCAAAACAGTTATCATGAAAAGAGAATAGAGATATCCAGAAATGGATATCCAAAATTACTATACATATCAGAAACTGAGTCTCCTAGTATAGAAACCATCTATTTTTGCAGGCTTAATGTGGGTCTCATTCCCTGTCCAACAAATTTAATTTATAACCAAAGTATTAAGTCTGCAAATGTAAATCAAAACAATTTGTTCAAAGTTAAAAAAAAAAAAAATCCTTATACCAAGATTTCAATGACAAACAGAACACTCCACATTTAACAAGCTCTCCAACACAAACTGAATACATGCCGGAGAATAAACATGTTATTCTGTTACCTAAATCTTCCAGGTCCTGTTGTTACTGACAGCTAGCATGATGCCACACAGAAAAGGAAAAGCCTCTTAGCTGATGACATGCTGGTTTACTAAAGGACTCACTTCCTACCTCTCAGTGACCCATGGCCAAAGCAAATGCTAAGATAAACAATTGTTACTGCCTTATGTCCACAGTCTCTGCTCTTGAGCTTATTTATGGACTTCCAAATCCAGCAGTTGGTTTGGCCTAGAGAATCCTAAAAGTGCAGAACAAAAGCTGGGGGTACAGCTCAGTGGTAGTGTGTTTGCTTACCATACGTAAGACTCTGGTTGGAACTCCAGTACAAAAAAAATAAAAAGAACAAAATACAGCTTACTCTTGGTTTTGTTAATTTACATGCTAATTTCTTCTTTACTGTTTTAGCACATTTTATCACTTTGCCTTCAAACAATCCTGTTCAATTCTTTTCTTATATATTTGTAAACATCATCTTACCTTTATTCTAATTTCATCATTTCTAATTACCGAGTCCTAAATTCTACTTTTTATATTCTTGGGAAAAAAATTTTTTTTTTGAGACAGGATTTCGCTATGTCATTCAGGCTGGCGTTGAATTTGCTTCTGTTGCTTAGGCTGGCCTTGAACTCATGGGGATCCTCCTGCCTAGCTTCCTCACTGTTGGTTCATAGGTGTATGCCACCACAATGGCCTTATTCTTGAAATTTTTAGCATTTATTTCATTTCTTATTTCCTGAACAGTCAATGCTTAAGATTTTCTTTTTTCTTGACCAATTTTGCATGCTTCAATCTGCTAATCAGAATGACTGATCTGAAAACAAAATGCAGTATAAGAACCATTACTGAATTTCTACCATCTTGTATGGTGAAGCTCTGCATCACTACCAATTTTTTTTTCTTATTACTTGTCTTTGATTGTTTGATCAATCTTACATTGTTATATCTGGTGGACTGAGCAACTTCGATGATGATAACAGTATGTAATGTAGCAACCACTGTCAATTCCTATCATTTTGTTTTGAGGTCATGTATTGTTTTTGTGTTGTTTTGATTTTGTCTTGTTATTTTATTAGATTTTTTAATCTTCAAAATAAAAAAACAAAAAAACCTAATTTATCTTACTTTTTATTCTTGGAATTTTGTCTTAAATTCTTATTTTCTAGTGTAATATTTTCTCATTTATCTTTTTCAACAATCTTTAATATTTTTCCTTCTTTTAACTTTAATACTTAAATTTTATATACATCTAAATCAATTTACTTTATCACTTTTTATTCTTTTCATCCTAAAAAGAAAAATAATCAAGCCTTCTTGGGCTAGGACACGCACCCAGATGGAAGGCAAGTGCAGAAAAAGTACCACCACAGATAGGGCAGAGCTGCTTCTGTGCAACTCCTCCTCAGATTTGCTTTAATGCTCTCCTGACACTGAATACTACTTCTGAAGTTTCCAATGAAGACAAGTAAAGTTCATATACTGCAAATTCTTTTAAACTTGTAAAATACCTAAACACATTTTGATTCAAAAGAAGCAATTTCCCTGAAAATTAGAGTGATATCATCAACATACCTTTCTCCTCTGAAAATATACTATCTTCTGTCCTATAAATAAAATTTCAGCTGGTCCCGCAGACTGAGTCCGTGCTTTACTCCCACCACCATGGTTCCCAGCTGAAACTCACGGAGAGAGCAAAGTATTTCCCATCTACTTCCTGGGGGCAGAGTGGGCGACCCAGGACCCCACCACCATTACAGACTGAGTCTCTGCCATCTGTCCACCCGCAACAGACAGGAGGTCCTCACTCAGAAGCCCCAGGGACTCCTCTGGCTGGGGGTGGGGGGGGCGTGTGGCCCCTCCGGTGAGGGGGGCGTGTGGCCCCTCCCTGCGCGCACCCTGCGCCTAGTGAGCCAGTGCTCCAAGAGCTGCTGGTCCCACGGTTCCAGCCCGTCCTTTACTCCCACTGCCATGGTTCCCAGCTGAATCTCGCAGAGAAAGCCAGACAAGTGGTACTCACTCAGAAGCCCTGGGGACTGCTCTCACTGGGGTGTGTGAACGGCCCCTCCCTGCACGTGCCTTGTGCCCAGTGAGTGAGTGAGTGCTCCAAGAACTGCTGCTCCAGCAGTTCAAGTCCATGCTTTACTTGCACCTGGACCAACTAGGGGGTCTCAGGCACGGGCAGTCCGTGATTGCTGTCTGTCTGGCCTGCATCCGGTTCCTGTATGGGTCCTGAACTGACTGGAGACACAAAATCAGGTGGTTCACAAACCGTCAACCCTGGAGTTTGTGTCTGGGCTTTGCTTGTACCATGAACTGCCTGGGGATGTAGTTTCACTGGGCAGGGATTGTCACACCAGTGCAACCTGAGTCTGGGCCATGCACGTGCCCTGAACTGCAAGGGGACGCTGGATCAGACAGTCGGCCATCACCTGACATCAATGCCCACGTCTGAAACCTGGGATAACTACATACAAATCAACAACTGCCTGAAAACCAGACACTAAGTACTGCTTCTCAGGGGTCACTGAGGGGAAAACCTGACCAACAGGAAAACTAGGGACGCTAATGGATTTTGCTGTGCAGCCACTGAAGAGAGAAACTGAGCTTTCT